TAGTTCCTTTTGAGACTCTGTGGATTAAACCGTTGGATTTGATTTCAGCTCGCACCAGAGCTCGAAACCATACCACAGCCATGCTGCCCACCCTCCAGAGTATTTTCAGAGTTCAGAGATTGGCAGAACAGTGAGGGGAGCGTCGAACATCCAATCGATGAGAATGCAACCATCGATCAATTTTTGATTCGACGTGGAAACGGTCGTTGGACCGATTAAAACCGAAGCTGCTCGGAATGACCGATTTTTCCGTTCTCCATCGACGTCCGTTTGTTGCAACTCGATATGTTATTACTCATTCTAATAACCCTTGTCTAGTCCTCAGCCATAATCCTCCAGTCGAGGCACGAAAAACTAGCCGGCACGATAAACGACACTCTTGAACTCGAGCGCCCTTCTCGCCCGGCAAACACATTGCCTACCATCGCTTCAGGCACCCACATCCGCCCAGCGTCCCCAAATTTCTATATATGTATTCCATGCTTTTTCTCCGGAATGATAACGACGCTAATCACCATCTCCTCCTCCAGACGCCACCCAGACGAAGAGCGCATTTGATTCCTTTCCCCTCCTTGACCCTCCGCACATAATCCCCCTCGAGCCCGTCGACGTCAGCAACAACGATATGCAGCCCACGTCTACGGCAGCGGGCGACGACAGCAAACGCGCGTCGCAGATCGTATACGCCACGGGGTTCTTCAACCGCCTCATCACCCCCCACACTCTCCGACCCGCGCGCGTAGAACGCCTTCCGCAGGGAGGTGCGCGTTGTGTTACACAAGCCATGTGCGCAATCTGTCGAGGACGTCAGGGACGATGTGGAGGAGGCGGTGGTAGCCGCGCTCCAAGATGCCGGCGGGGGCGGCGTGCAGAGAAGGGATGGAGGGAGGCGCGACGGGGGGAGGGCAGAGACCCGCGCCCGGCGTCGCGGGTGCGAGTGCCTCGGCACTCGGGGATGATTTCGGCGGTGACGAGAAGCAGCAGCAGGATGGTGGAGCGGTGCTGGTACCGCGGGAACGCATCGAGAAGGGCACGGGCGAGGAGCTGGTGCGCGAGCTCGTCTTCGCCACGGTGTTCTTGCGCGCGGTTATTCGCCCAGCTGCTGACCGTCTGTACGGGCAGGGGGGGGGAGGTGGGGCGGGTACGTGGTGGTGCGGACTACCCAGTCCGTTGGTCGAGCTGCAGCGTGGCGAGCACGTAGCGCAGCGCTGGAGGGGAGGAGGTGTACGTGTACGTGTATCCGTCCCGTCGCACGACTGGAAGGAGCATGGCGCGGGGGAGCGGAGAGGACGATGTCATGCGCGAGAACGATGGCGGTGCGGTGCGACGTTGTCGTGAGTGTCCTGTGGTAGAGGAGCGGACTGGCAACGCCACGCACGAGCAGTGGGAGGAGGAGGCGCGCGCCGTTCTCGTGGGGACACCGATGTCGTGGGCGCGGCGTGCGCGCGCATTGTTAAGCTCGAGCAAGTGTAGAAGGAGTGCAGTGCGCAGCGGTCGATCGAGGACGCGCATTGACGTCAGTACTGCAGTTGCACGGACGCGGGGGAATGCACGGACGCGGGGAAACGAGCCAAATAGCTCCCGCTTTCCTCTTCCTTCTCCCTTTGAGCGTTGCTGTGGGCGCCGTATGCACGTCGCGCATGTCGTCGGATCATCGCCGTTGGCGCCGTGCATGTCCTGCACGGGGAGGATGGGGAGGAGCACTTCGGCGTAAAAAGTGCGCTGCGCAGGTGTGGGGATACGGTTCCCCTCCACACCAGGCCTGATGTCGTCCGCAATGTGGTGCGTCCTGCACGGGAGGATGGGCGGACGTCGTCGCGCGTGCGAAAGGTCATACATCGCGAGTTGATGGCGTGTCCCGCTCGTTTGTATGGGCGGTGGTGCGATCGGCTCGGGGGCGGGACTTGACTTCCGCGTATGAGTGGACCGCGTCCGCGCACTTGTAAATGTAGACGAACTTGGTCGACGTGCTGGTCGCGCGTGTGCTCGTGAGCTTGGCATCAGCGTCTACCGCTTGTACACTCTGCTGTGGGGGAGCGGAGGCGCCCCTGCCCTAGAGCACCGCCGACGCTACCTCTCGTCGTTGCACGTCGTCGTGCGTGTGCGGCAGCTTGTGAATGGTTCTCGTTTCGTCTCGACGTAGATATATCTCGTATCTTGGACGTCGATGCTCTCGTGAATCCGGGCGACCGGCGTGCGGATCCGTGCTCACGCGGATAGAATCCCGCCTCTTGGATTATACCTTTTATTTTGACTTGACTTATTTCCTTCTGCTTTGCTTCACTTCTCATCATCGCCTACACGCAATACTGATGCACCTTTTCTTTCTTCCAGACAAACCTCCCCACACGATTTCTCACAACTCGGCCACCCCCTACCTGAGCTTCCCCCCGCGCTCTGGATCCTCATCCTTGAGTACTCGACCTGCCCAAACGCACCCTCATCCTCATCTCCAAAAAATGGCACGGCTACGCCCAGACTGTCCTCCACGCGTCCCTCTGGATCTCGTATTCCGCCCAGCAAAGGCCTTCGCCTTCGCCCTCGCCCTCGCCCTCCTCTGCCATGCGGGCTGCCTCGCGCCGACGTCCGCCCCTGCCCACTAGACCTCCGCGGGGCGGTTTATCCGTCGACTGCATGCCGAGGCCCCCGCGCTGGAGCGGTCGCCCCCGCCGACATCGGCTTCAAACTTCATCTGAAAAAGGTGACGCCTCCTTCGCTTCCTTTCTTCTCCTTCCCCATCATCTCCCAGCGCCCTCTCCCCTCCGCATCTCTCCCCGTCTATCCCCATTCTTAGGCCTTCCATGTCGTATTCCATAGCCACTCGGTGCCTCGAGCAACTCTACAGCATTCTCTTTTGTCAATGCCGCCGTGCTTTTCCACCTGTTCTTTTCTATAATATCAAAGCCGCGCGAGATCTGGTAAACCCTGAAACAACCCAAGCGCTGAAACCAACGAAGTATCCGCTTCATGACTCAAGTCCTCAAGTTCTTTGACTTGATTAGCTTCGCCATCGGCTCCATTCCAACGACATTGCATCAATACCTCGCAAGACTCCTCAGGCCCGTTACAAGACTTCGAGCCGCAGCAAGAGCCCGAGCTATTCCAACACCCATTACTTCAATGACCCGTTTTCAATATCTCTCAAGACCAAACTGCGCGGCACTCGGGTTCATTACGGCCTTCAAGATACACCTGTCACCTGTTTCAAGAGCTCGAGCGATTCAAGACCTCCGCTAAATCCCATGCTTTCACACGGAACGAAGATTCCCTCCATCAATAACTTCCTCATAACGCAGTTCGAATGCTCAATAACCTTGCAGACTTTTACGATTCTTCACTTTCTTTCATCAATCTTTTCTTGGTGACGGCCGGGGCATTTGAAATGCGGATGTTACTGATCATTTACCTTTCGTCTGAGCAAGTTCAAACTATAACAGCAGTTGAACAAATATCATCGGCATCGGAAGCGATTTGAATCAGGTTCGTCCTGCGCTTCGTCCTCAATCCCTAATTTCCTCGGGCATCTGCGTGTTAGACCTAAATTTGAGATTTTTCTGCTAGCAACAGATATAATTTTCATGGTTTTTCATTATCACCCAACCACACAATTTCCGGTGAATCACAGCACTGTCGTACGTATCACGATTCATTCACTGGCACAGCTGAGAAATTTCTACAATGTTTTGGGTCTTACCGTCTCCGAGATTCTCTCCTCCGCTTTCCGAATCCCTAGCTGAGTGTTGGGTTCCGATGAACTCATTCAATTCTACTCGGATTTTTTCTCTCCCATCTGCCTTGGGTGTTAGTTGCGAGCGGAGCTGGATTCATTTTTATCATCTGGATTCTCTGTGTTCATTATGTGTAGTGGCAATGCACAACTGGATTTAATGCTCATATATTGGGTTTTAGCATTGAGAGACATTGATTTTTGGAGACGGTTGGTTGATTGCTGGTAGACTTCGGAGCGTGAAAGTTTCTTTGGAATGCAACACATTGAACAGCGGCTTCAGCTGTCTTTGCCCGAGCGAAGGCATGTCTTGTTATCTATATCATGATTGTCAATGATTGTACCGTCAGCTGCACGTCCCTTCTCACGAGAGGATTCTAAAGGTATAGCAATTTTGTGAATTGGCTCAGGCCTTGGTGACTTAATATGCCAAGGAGTGGCCGCACTTTCAATCTCAATATTCACCCTCTGTCTTTCTCCTACCAGGATCCAGGTGGGCATTTTAATCCAATGCGTTGGAGACGCCACTGGCAAATTCAGAATCATTCATCTTCCATCATAGCACCCTGCCACAGCTGGGTGCTGCAGCTGCCACTAAAGGTGTTTGGTGGCCATGCCATGTCTTGATAACTATCAACGGGTCTTGGGGGGGCAGACCTGTTGATAGTTATCGAGTGGTGGTGGTATTTTCAGGTGCTGTTGCATCCAAGTTGGTGTACTGTTGGGCCTGCTGACCATTTCATTTCGGCTGGACATTCCGAAATAAAAAGGTTCACAAATTGGCCAGCATTGAACATTCGGACCCTTGGATCCTGACTTTCAAACTTCATTCATAGCAGGAGAGTTTGCCAACTTCTAACCAAAAAACTGATCTGCTCATTTCACGTGGTTGAGTGATCATCAGTAGGTCTGATTCCACCGTGGTGGGCATTGTTCTGAGCCAGAAAAAACATGGAATCTGACATACAAAATATTTTGCTCCACAAATGTATACACCACAGTAAGTAGGCCATTGGACACTCTAGAGCAAAGCCACAATTTCAAGCCAGGTGAGTAGATGAACCAGGGTTTAAGATCTGAACCAATGAGCTTGAGATGAGCGGTGATGAAGAAGGGCCTGGCATAAGAGCGGAGAATTCTCATTCACATACAAATACGATTTATGTATTCATGGACTGACTTGATTAAAATCTCAGATCACGTGAGAAAAGCAACAATATCCTCAGGCAATTGTACCTCAATGGTACTGTCTAGTGGTATCATACTCTCAACGGGGCACATGGTGTAGTTGGTTATCACGCTCGCTTAGCATTGGCGGAAGTTTCAATAATGCGAGAGGTGTTGGGTTCAATTCCCAATGTGTCCATGTTTTTGCCTTGGCTTTTGCTTAAACTTCCTCCGACCGTGACACTACCATTCCCAGCAGAATTAGGACGTCGTTATGTTTACGAGCTCGTTTGTCGTTTCACGAGCTTCCCCAAAAGAAATTGTACCTGGAGGTAACTTATTATTGTTTGTATGTAAGTAGCACATCACCACATATTATTATTAAGGATATTCAGGTAGGGTGTCGTCCACCAATGCATGCGTGCCTCGAATGTTCATGAAGTACCACTGCACAGTGCACATTGTGTCAACACATGGCCGAGTGGTGTTGAATTTCGTAGACTTACATAAACGACACTAGGCTCATTGCGGCGGTTGTTGACATCCATCATGCTGACTTCGAAGTAATATGGCCGGAGGCCCGCACACTCCAATTTAGTCCACCAATTGTTGAACTGTCCGACCGTTTTCATATCTTGGTTGCAGGAGTTAGGATCATGTCATGTTAGGGGAAATGACCATACCATCTGTGAGTCCCGTATGGACTGTCATAATAAGCTGGCCAAAGGGAAGCGGTTCATCCCCATACTCCGCGATCATGGACAGCAGGGTGGCGAATTCCGAGCCCGCGAGCTCGACCTAAATAATAACAATAACATCAGAATCGCCGTGAGACGCAGGGTGGAGCGGAATTATTATTACCTTGAGTATGTCAATCCATTCATGGTTGAACGCACGCATGGTGCTTTTCAGAGAGCGGTATTTGTCGCCTGCGGTTGGGTCGGACAGCCCGAATTGGTTAAAGTGTATTCGCGATTTCATTACGGCTGTATCTATGTCTGTTTCTCCCCATGGCCATTTTGAGAGAGCGTCGGCCGTAGCAGCGGCGTCGAACACTACGGATATAAGAGGATTGGCGCGAAATATCACAAGGGGGACGTACCGTGAAGTTGGCATCCGGGTGATCTTTCGAGCATGCTCACTTCGAAGCTAGAATACGACTGGGCTTGCTGGTTAAGCGAATAGATGAGGCAGTTAGGGCGATCGTAGAGCATGCGCTCCATACCACAGACCCATTTACCTGAAGAAGCGTCAGAGTCGTTTCATTCAGAAAGAAAACCTCTTACCTCCGTCGGCAAGAATGCCTGGAAAGGAGTTTCAATTTCGAATGTTTCCGTGGGGGACTGAAGGGCTTACCGACACGGTACATGGGATGCGGGCAAGAAAATTCCGGCACGTAGAAATCCCAGAGGGCGTCCCGCTTTCAAATCGAGTTTATGTGAGTTTCCCTCAAGTAAGATAGACAAGGTCGAACCAAGCGATGGGGAGGACCGAATCTGCGCACTAAGAATTCAGCGAATGGACTAAAGTTGCGAAAATGTTTACACACGCAGAGATGTCCATTCCACCAGTTTTCACGATGAGCGCCTCTCTGGCTACAATCATCCGCTGGTACCGCCTCTCGTTTCCTGCAAGCGTCTTTGCCAGACGACTTGTTCCTCCGAGTTGAATGGAAACAGCGCAGTTACTGATGTTCGTCGTAGTCAAAAGTCCTTGATATTGGATTGGAGGCGGCTCCTGGGTGTCACCGTGGCAAAGAAAGTAGACGGTATATGCGAGGAGAACGGTAGCGGAGATTGCTGGCCAGCGCCAGTGTTGCGTGAGCGCTTGCCGGTTTACGCGCTGAAAAATCCCCAAGGATAGCATGAATGGCGAAGGAAGGTCGTGGTAGGGGAAGGGATGAGATGAAAAACGTGGGCGCTCAATTCAGCTCAGTCCGACGGCGACCGATGGTGCACCGCGGATGTAGCGTTGGCTCGGCCCTAACAGCTCGCACTTAGTGCCCTGAATAAGCCCAGGGCGAGAACAGATCAAGGACCAGTACTAGTTACTCACTTCCGATAATTATCTCGTTACATCTCAGCGTCAAACCAGCGTGCATAGTGGTGGGGGTCCTATAATTCTGTAGCTGGCCAGCATTGGGCTGGCACATCGTTGGCGGAGGATTTGAACAGTGAGGAATTCCAATGAGATGAAGCCCACGAGCCAAAAACAAGTGAACGGATAGAGCCTTGGCGTGAATCGAACGGGAGTCCCAGTTGCAGTCTCAGATCTCAGGCCATGTAGACGGTCCAAACGCACCTGGGTTTAAGTAATCACAGATTTGCACCAGCGAAATTCCTGGCAGAAATGAGTCGAATGTGTCGTCGTCGTTGAGAGAGAAAGAGCCTAAGCAGAAGAAAAATCCGAGATTTGCAACCAAGGCCAAAGCAGACGCGTATGTGGGAGAAAAAAGAGAACAAGGCGAATGATCGGCCCGATATCCACAGTCACAAGTCACAGTCCCATCAATGTGACTAGCTTTGTCGGCTCTTCTATGAATCTTTCAAAGTTGCTTTGCGCTCCACCAAGCCACGGTTCTTGCTAAGGCTCCAACCGTTTAGTTTTCGTTTACAACGACCCGTAAACTAAACGGTAAAAAAATCATAAACGTTTACATCTGTTTGCAAAACGTTTAAAAACGATAGATTTGCGGGCAGTAAATTATATGAAATTTTAGATATACAACGAAGTTACAACTGTTTTGACTTGAATAACCCGGCCTTGATCCACATCTTCGTGAGCATGGCTTTCATGATGGTGTCAGCGTGCATGGAGGAGCGGGTTTCGCGGCAGAGATGTCGTGATTTTGAGAAAAGGCGCTCAACAGATACACTGGTACCTGGAATGGCGAAGAAGTCACGAGCCATCGCGGCAATGACGGGAAAGTCGCGCTCGTGTATCTGCAAAGTAGATCGTCAGCAATGACAGAGAGAACCAACAGTGCCATACCTTCCACCACGCCAAAGGTGCGTCAAGCTTGCCGGATCCGTAAGTAACTGCTGCGTCATAGAATCGCTTGAATTCAGGTTCCAGCGGGAGCACCTTCTTGACTGGGAGGGCAACATCCACCATGCACACAGCCTGGAGAAAAGATCTCGCTGGTTGTGTGGGTTTGCTTGGCTGAGTAGCTGGAGGTGAACTTTGAACCTTCGCATCCGCAGTCCTCTTGTAGGTGTCGAAGACAAATTCAAATAAGATGCGCGCATGTTCTGCACGCTCCGGGCTGATTTTTTGGAACCAGGCCAGACCAAGGCATGGATGTAACACTTGAAAAATTGGCTCAAAAGTTGCGACAACCTGGAAGAATTCACTTACTCGTTGCAATGACATTGAACTGGCATTCCTTCGCCTTTTCGTGGTACACGGTAAGTTTGGTGAGACCAGCAGTGGCAGCAACCCGAAGCGACTGCAGAAGCGACTCGTCTGCGGCATGCTCTCGGAGGGAGGCCATCATCGTCTCGTACATCGGAAGCACGAACGGCAGCGTGGGTGTCCCCGAACGTGACATTTCAAGCGTAACTTGAGTAAATACCTGGGAAAGAATTTAATTGGATGAATATGATCGTGAACTGCCTTACCGTCAGAATCTTCCCCAAACTCTCGAGCATCTTCCACTCGTCTGGTGTGAGAAGTAGAGAGCGCAGTTCCTCTCGCTCAAAGACCCATTGATCGATGGCCTACCACACATTGAGTATTCTTCCGTAAAACAAACACAAAATGCGAACCTTGCGAAGTAATAGCCCACGAGTGATCATCGCCTCTGTGTAATTCCATCGGGTCTTCACGTCTCGAATCACCATTAATGATGCGAGCGGCTTCCCCGATGGTGCGCACTCATTAGCCGTATAGACGCTTTTCGAAGCAGCTCTGAATCGCTGACGGCGTTGAGGTGAAGAGGAAATTTTGATTGTTATCGTGCGAAGCTGGATGAATAAATGAACAACTGCGAGAGAAAAGACAGTTCACTCACTTTTCCAATAGCAGAAAGCTTTTCAAACTCAGGTTTGAGCGCTGTAATCAATCCGATCTCGGAATCCTCATCAGTGGTGGCACAATGCTCCTTGGCGAACTGTTCCTTCTCGAGCGCAATGAGCTCGGGATCGCCATCGGGATCGTAGTGAAACGGGAGATCCTTGTTCGGGATATAATAGTCTTGCTCCTCGGGATCGTGTGCTTCGTCGAGTGTGGCGAGAATTTTCTGAACAACAAGATTGACAACGTGGGCAATGCAACGGATCTGTGAATTTTCTGGAGCCCATTGAATGTCGAAACCTTGCCGGAGTATATCGGACAGAGCGCGGATGAGGACGTCGTTGGTGCTTGCATTGTCTAGGCTAAGGGCTAAGAGGTAGGAGATACTGTGTGTCAGCGTCCCGCAACTGTAAGATTGAATTCAACATATCTTTTCGAGGATACCAAGCTCCGAGAGCCGCTTCGCCAAACCGGCAGCGGCATAGACACCCTCGTGCTCCTTTTCACCGATTGGGTGGAAGTCAATAACTCGCTCTATCAGCTGCCAGTCCTCAGAGACCCAGCTGGCAATTGTCCCCGCAAAGGTGAACATCATCGAGCGAGTCGACCAAGTATCGGTAGAGGCCGCAATCTTGGATTTTACATTCTAACCAGGTTCAGGCTCGAAGTAAATAGAAAAAAAATATACCCACCGCCAGCTCAGACTTGATGCTCTCAAACATCTCGCAAAACAACTTTGCCAGCGTGTTTCGCACAGTGGTATCACTCGGTAAGCCAAATCGCGAACCTATGTAGTCGAAGAGACGTTGGATCCCCGGGGACTCGCCAGTCGTGAACGCCAGATCATCTTCGATAATCCAAGCAGCAAAAACTCTGTTGAACCCGATCTGGGTCGGGTTAAGAGCCGGATTCAACTTGCATTCGCGCAGATAGTTCTCCATAATTTTCGCCGACGCTTCGGAAATTTCACGCGTGAATCCGGGCTCAGAGCTTGGGATCTCGATATCGTTGCCGTGCTTCGTACGGACATGTGTAGCCAAATTGCCCAGATTTGGCTGGGGCTTTTCGTCTTCGAAGTCTGCGTTCTTCTCGAGTGTCCGCCGGAAAGTGTACGAACTTAGAGTTGTCAGCCCAGCAGATAAGAGGCAAGGTTTCGCAGGCTCACGTTTTACAGTGCCGGCACTT